CAGTAACAGCGTGAGAGAGGGAGAGAGGCATATAATGCCTCGCGCTGTGACTGTGCGTCTACGACGACAGCAGCAGCAAAAGCGTAAGAGAGGGAGAAAGACACAGATAGACACCTCTCCACACGTCTCTACCCAGACGTTGCTGTAATGCCTCATCGACTGCAGCAGCTCGCTGTGACTCCACGACGGTTGTATGGCAGCAGAAGGGACCGACGCAGAAGTTGCTGTAACGCCTCGACGACAGCAGCAGCTCGCTGTAAGCCAGTGATGCTGGCAGCAGGAGTGACCGATGCACAAAGTTGTAACGTAGCTAATCCTATACTACCACGATGGCAAGTCTGCTTCTTTCTCTGCTGCCACGAATAACGTAGCGGGGAGAGTAATAGTGCGGGTGTAGAGAAGCAGCAGCGACGACAGCAGCGGCTCCCTGTAAATCAACGATGCTTGTTATGGCAGCAGAAGTGATCGATACACGAAGGAGTAACGTAGCAGATTCTTTACCAGCACGAGGGCATGTCTGCTTTTTTCACCGCGGCCACAGATAATGTAGCGGGGAGACTAAGAGTGAGCCTGTACAGAAGCAGCAGCGACGAGCTGCATATCAGCGATGCTCGTACGGCAGCAGGAGCGACTAATACACAAAGCGGCAACGTAGCAAGCGCTATATCAGCAGGAAAGCGTGTTTATTTGGTTCGCTACACCCACCGAAAGTATAAGTGGGAGGGTAAGAGTGAGGCTGTAGAGAAGCAGCAGCGACGACAGCAGTGGCTCGCTGTAAATCAACGATGCTTGTATGGCAGCAGGAGCCACCGATGCACAAAGTCGTAACGTCGGAAAGAGTCTCCCGCAACGAGAGCGTATCTGTTTGTTTCCCCGCTGCCGCCACTAATGTAGCAGGAAAAGTTATAGTGAGGCTGCAGACAATCAGGCCCACAAGCTTCTCTGAGAGAGCAGCACCATCTCTCGGATAGTTAGCCACCAGTGCGTGCGACAAGTAGACTCAAAAGTGCCTTTCACCGAATGCTGCTGCTGCTGCTGTCGAAGCTGCTGGTGCTGCTGTCGAAGCTGCTTCTGCGGCGACTCGCTAGTACACCAGCACGCTGCGCCACCGGTGTAGTGATCGTCTTCAAGTAACTCTTGCCTCTGTCATGCTGTTGCTTTCAAGAAAGGCACAACTACTGTATTCACAAGCGCCTGCGGCAGATTCTGCTGCTGTGCAAGCTGCTTCTACGGCAACGGCTAGTGTAGCAGCAACCCACGCCTCCGGTGTATTGATCCTCTTCAACGATTTCTTGTGTCTGTCCTGCTGTTGCTTTCAGCAGGGGTTAGAGCTAGCGTATTCACAAGCGCCTGCGGCAGATGCTGCTGCTGTGGAAGCTGTTTCTGCAGCAGTTGGCTACTGCAGCAGTTGGCTACTGCAGCAGTAATCTATTCCTCCAGTAAAGTGAGCCTCTTCAACTAATTACTGCCCCTGTTATGCCGCTGCTTGCAGAAGGTTCAGAGCTACTGTATTCACAAGCGCCTACGGCAGATGCTGCTGCTGTGCAACGTGCTTCTGCAGCAGTTGGCTACTGTAGCAGTAATCTACGCCTCTGGTGTAGTGATCCCCTCCAAGTAATTTTTGCCCCTGTCCTGCTGCTGCTTCCAACAGAGGGGGAAGCTACTGTATTCACAAGCGCATACGGCAGATGCTGCTGACGTAGAAGCCGCTTCTGCGGCAAGTGGCTAAAGCAGCAGTAGTCTAAGTCTCCGATGTAGTGATCCTTGTCGAGAAATCCTTACTCCTCCAGTGTTGTTGCTTTTAAAAGAGGCACAACTAATGTATCGGCAAGCGCCTACGGCAGGTGCTGCTGCTGTGGAAGCTTGCTCTGCTGCTGCGATTGACTGATGCTGCTGCGATCTCTGCGAGGTTGGTGGGTGAGTCTCTGTGCTTCTCGAGTACTCCTGCCTAAATCACCTATGCTGCTTCTCCTGCACATACGTGTAACGAGTGCAGATGCGGCAGCAGCAGCAGCAGCCCCTGCCTCCTCCTGAAGAAGAACAGCTACTGTACTCACAAGCGCCTACGGCAGATGCTGCTGCTGTGGATGCTGCTTCTGCTGCTGCGATTAACTGCTGCTGCTGCGAACTCTGCGAGGTTGATGGGTGAGTCGCTGTGCTTTTCGAGTTCTCCTGCCTAAATCACCTATGCTGCTTCTCCTCCACATACGTACAACACGTGCAGATGTAGCAGCAGCAGCAGCAGCAGCCCCTGCATCCTCCTGAAGAAGAACACCTACTGTACTCACAAGCGCCTACGGCAGATGCTGCTGCTGTGGATGCTGCTTCTGCTGCTGCGATTGATTGATGTTGCTCCGATATCTGCCAGGTTGGTGGGTGAGTCTCTGTGCTTTTCGAGTACTCCTGCCTAAATCACGTACGCTGCTTCTCCTCCACATACGCACGGCAGCTGCAGCTGTAGCAGCAGCAGCAGCCACCTCCTTTATCTCCTCCTCGTCCTCCTCCTCCGCTGTTGCTACTGCTGTGCCCGTCGTGCGTAGTATTATGCCTGCTGTACCACTGATCTGCAACTTCCCCCCCCTACTCATAGATGTATTCTACGTGCCTCGAACAGCCGTGCCAGCAGCAGCCAAGCAAGTGCAGTACAGCTGTGGAACAGCAATGAAGCAACTTTCCCCCGGCCCGAAGATGCTCATACGTGCCTCACCCTCAGAAAGCCCCACAGACGTGAAAAAGCTTCCGTTCCTCCCCTCAGATGTGTTTACGTGCCCGGAGATGTTAGTACGTGCCACAGCCTCAGAAAGCCCAGCAAACGGGAAAAATACCTTTCTCTCCCTCTCCTCACACGTGTACATATATATATATAAATATATATATATATATTTATATGTATATATATACGCATATATATATATATATATATATATATATATATATACTTGCAGCAGCGCCAGCAGCATCAAAGTAGGTGCAGTACAGCTGAGGAACAGGAGAGAAGCAATTTTCCCCCCCTAGCCAGAGATGTCTATCCCCTCAACCGAGAGATGTTTGTACGTGCCCCAGCCCCAGAAAGCCCAGTAGACGTGAACGGCAACTTTCCCTGCCTCTCCTCTCCGCAGATGTACGTGAGTGCCTCAGCAGCGGTGCCACCAGCAGCAAGTTAGGCGCAGTAGAGCTGAGGAGCGGCAGGAGCAACTAGGTAGGCGTAAGAGACAGTCCCCGCTCGCCACCCAGAAACCCACATACGTTCCTCTAACAGCAGTGGCAGAAGCAGCAGCAACAGCAGCAACGTAGCGGCAGTAGAGCTGAGGCGCACAAGAAGAAACTCAGCAGTCGTGAAAAGCAGTTGTCTCCCTCCGCTAGGAAACGCTTAGGACGTGGCTCAAGCTAAGAACGCTCAGTAGTCGTGAAAAGCACCGTTCTCTCCCCGGCCCATAGATGAATATACGCGCCTACAAGAGCAACGCCAGCAGCAGCAGCAGCAGCAGCGGAGGCACAGTAGAGCCGACGACCATCGCCCTCTACGAGCAAAGCCAGCAGCAGCAGCAGCGTAGGCACAGTAGAGCCGACGATCGTGGGGATCGCTCAATAGTCATAAAAGGCGACGTTCCCTCCCACACGGGACATGTAGAGACGTGCCTTCAACAGCAAGCCAGCAGCACCAGCTTCAGCACAATAGAGCCGCCAACCATCAAGGATGCTCAATAGTCATAAAAGGTAACTTTCTCTCCCTCTCCAAGTATGTTTAGACCTGCCTTTAGTAGCAAGGACAACAGCAGCAGCAGCAGCGTGGGCGCGGTAGAGCTGGCTATAATCAAGAATGCGCGATAGTCAGCATGGATATACGCGCCTCTAACAGCAACGTCAGCAGCACCAGCGTAGGCGCAGTAGAGCTGACCACCATCAGGGTAGCTCAATAGTCATAAAAGGCAAAGTTCCCTCCCGGTTTACAGATATACCTGCGTGGCTCTAACAGCAGTGCCACCAGCAGCAGCAGCAGCAGCGTGGGCGCAGTAGAGCTGACAACCATCAGGAGAGCTCAGTAGTCATAGAAAACTACTTCCTCACCTCGCCCACAGATGTATATATGTGCTCCAGCAGCTGTGCCGGCAGCAGCAGCAGCGTAGGCGCAGTAGAGCGGACAATTATCACAAAGGCTCAACAGTCGTAAGAGGCAACGTTCCCTCCAGTCCCACAGGTGTGTACACGTGGCTCTAACAGCAAGGCCAGCAAGCAGCAGCGTAGGCGCATGAGAGCTGACTACCGTCAGGACAGCTCAATAGTCATAGAAGGTAACTTCCTCACCCCGCCCACACATGTATGTACGTGTCTCTAACACCAAGGCCAGCAGCAGCAGCAGCGTAGGCGCAGTAGAGCTGGCCAGCACCAGGTTAGCTCAATAGTCGCGAAGAACGACTTTGTCTCACCACCCACAGATGTATATACGTGCCTCCAGCAACACGGCCAGCAGCAGCAGCGGACGTGCACAAGAGCTGAAGACCATCAGGACAGCTCAATAGCCACGAAGGGCGACTTTGTCTCCCCACCCAAAGATGTACATACGTGCCCCTAAGAGCAACGCCAGCAGCAGCCTATGCACAATAGGGCTGGCGACCGTCAGGACACCTCAATAGTCATGAAAAACAACGTTCCCTCCCGATCCACACATGTACGTACGTGCACGTGCCTCTAACAGCAAAGCTAGCAGCAGCAGCAGCGTAGGCGCAGTGAAGTTGACGACCGTCAGGACAGCTCAACAGTCATGCAAGGTAGCTGTCCCCTCCCGATTGACAGACGTATTTGCGTGCTTGTAACAGCAAAGCCAGCAGCAGCAGCAGCCTAAGCACAATAGAGCTGACGACCCTCAGGATACCTCAGTAGCCATGCAAGGTAATAACCTTCCCTCCCTATCCACAGACGTATTTTGTGCCTCTAGCAGCAAAGGCAGCGGCAGCAGCGTAGGCGCAGAACAGCCTCAGGAACACATGGGAAGCTTAGAGCACCCTCAAGGCGGGAGGAGAAACAGAAGCAGCAGCAGCAGCGGCACCAGCAGCAGCAGGAGCAGCGGCAGCAGCAGCAGCAGGGGCAGCAGCAGCAGCAGGGGCAGCAGCAGCAGCAGGGGCAGCAGCAGCGGCAGCAGCAGTCATGGAAGGCAGCTCTCCCCTCCCTACCCACAGACAGCAGTGCCAGCAGCAGCAGCAGCAGCAGCGTAGGCGCAGTAGAGCTGACGCCCAGCGGAGCTGAATATTGATGAGAAGCAGACTTCCCCTCCCCACCCAGAAATGTTGGTACGCGCCTCTTAGAGGCGGCTGCGAAAAAAAAACGAAAACCACGAGAACTGGTGGAAACGAAGAAAAAAGAGAGAACAAGAACACATACACGGAAACTAGAGAGCTACGAAAGCAGCAGGGAAGCTGCTTCCGGTCGGCAGCGCCGCCGTCATATACGCAGGCACATGCTACGGCCTGTTTACAGAACTAAATAGACAACAAGAAGACAGACACGAGAACCACAATACCATGAGAGCATACAGCTGCTTGCACTGTGGCTTTCTCCAGAGAAAAAAGAAAGAACAAGAACACACATAAACCAGGACTACACGACTAAGAAAGCATACGGCTGCTTCTGCTCGGCAGTGCCGCCTTCATACAAGCAGGCAGGTGCTACGGCCTGTCTACAGAGAAAAAGAAGAAACAAGAACACATACACGCCAACTAGAAGGCCAAGAAAGCGTCTGGCTGCTTCCGGTCGAAGTTGCCGCCCTAATATGTGGAGACAGATGCTACGGCCTGTCTAGAGAGAAGAAGAAAAAACAGCAACACGTATACAAGGACAATAATACTAAGAAAGCATATGGCTGCTTGCACTGCGCCTTTCTCCAGAGAAAAAAAAAGAGCAAGAACACACATATGCGAGAACTACACTATTTAGAAAGCATATGGGTGCTTCTGGTCGGCCATGCCGCCTTCATACAAGCAGGCAGGTGCTACGGCCTATCTACAGAGAAAAAGAAGAAACAAGAACATACCTATACGAGACCTACACGACTAGGAAGCGTATGGCTGCTTCTGGTGGGAGTTGCCCCCCTAATACACGAAGACAGAGGCTACGGCCTGTCTAGAGAGAAGAAGAAAGAACAAGAACACGTATACAAGGACTATAATACTAAGAAACGGGATGGCTGCTGGCACTGTGCCTCTATGAACAGAAAAAGAAAGAACAAGAACACACACTTACCGAACGACACGGTCAAGAAAGCATATGGCTGCTTCCGGACAAGTGCGCGCCGTGATATACGAAGGCAAATGCTTTCGGAAATAAAGAGAGAAGAACACATATGCGAGAATTACAATACTGAGAGAGCATACGGCCGCGATTCTGCTCGCCAGTGCCGCCGTAATGTACGAAGACGGATGCTGCGGCCGGTCTACAAAGAAGAAGAACGAACAAGAACACACGTATACGAGGACCACATTACTGGGAAAGCATACGGCTGCTGTTCTGGTCGGCGATGCTGCCGTAATGCTAGAAAACAGATGCTACGGTCTGTCTGAAGAAAAGAGAAACAGCAAGAACACACAGACAGGAGAACAACAAGACAAAGGAAGCATATGGCTGCTTGCACTGTGCCTATCTGTGCCTATCTACAGAGAAACAAAAAGACCACACACACATATACTAGAGCTACAATACCAAGCAGCAGGGAGGATGCTTCTGGTCGGCAGTGCCGCCGTAGTATACGAAGGCAAATGCTACAGCCTGTCTTCAGAGAAAAGGAAAGAACAAGAACACAGACATACGGGAACAACAATACCGAGAAAGCACATGTCTGCTCCTGTCGGCAGCGCTGCCGTAATGTACGAAGACGGATGCTACCGCCGGTCTACGAAGAAGAAGAACGAACAAGAACACATACATACGAGAACCACACAATTTCGAATGCAGATGGGTGCTGCTGGTCGGCTGTGCCGCCTTCATACAAGCAGGCGGATGCTCCGGCCAGTTTACAGATACGAAGAGAGAACAAAAACAACAAGAACACGCACAGGAGAGACAGAAGACTACGAAGGCGTATGGCTGCTTGCGCTATGGCTGTCTACAGAGGAAAAGGAAGAACAAGAGCACATGTACCAGAGCCACAATACGAAGGTAAGCAGCAGGAAGACTGCTGCTGGTCGGCAGCGCCGCCCGAATATACGAAGGCGGGGTGCTACGGCCTGTTTACAGAGATAAAGAGAGAAGGACAACACATACAGGGAAACTGCAAGACTAAGAAAGCATATGGCTGCTATTCTGCTCTGGCGGCGCCTTCGTACAGGCAGGCAGATTCTTCGCCTGTCTACAGAGAAAAGAAAGAACATATACACGCACATACGAGACAAGCAATACGGAGAGAACACATGGCGGCTATGCTGGTCGGCGTGCCGCCGTGATGTACGAAGACGGATGCTACGGCGTGTCTACAGAGACGAAGAAGGAACAAGAAGACAAATAGACGAGAACTACATTACTAGGAAAGTGTATGGCTGCTTCTGGTCTTCTATTACGGTATGCATCTGCGGTGCCGCTGGAAGGCGCGAAGGCAGGGGCCACGACCGGCTTACAGAGAGAGAGAGAGAGAGAGAGAAAGAAAGAAAGAAAGAGAGAAGGAAAAGAGGAACACATCTACCAGAACTGCCGTAATAGTCGAAGGAAGGTGTGACAACCGGCTCACAGACAAAGAGAGAGAGACAAGGAAAATAGAAGAACAAGTCTACTCGAACTGTCGTGGCATACGAAGGCAGCGGTTAACACCCGCCAACAGAGAGAAAGGAGAAACAAGAACAAATTTACCAAGCTGCCACTCACGTAAGAGGCCTATGCATGTACAAACGTATATACATATATATATATATATATATATATATATATATATATATATATATATATATATATATATGCGCGCGGGCAGGTGCTACCACCCGCCTACAGAGAGAGGGGTAGGAGAAACAAGAATAAATCCACCGGCACCTGCCGTGATATACGAAGGCAGGTGCTACGACCCGCTTAACGAGGACTACGAGAAACAAGAACAACTTCATCAGAACTGCCGTATATATATATATGTATATTATCCGCTACGAAGGCAGGTGCTACTGTCGTGATATACGAAGGCAGGTGCTACTGCCGTAATATACGAAGGCAGGTGCTACAACCCGCTTGAAGACAAAACGGAGAAACAGGAACAAATCTACAAAACCGCCGTATAGATATGTATATTCATATATTATATATGCCGTATATAAATGTGTATGTATATAGTATCCGCCTACGAAGGCAGGTGCCACTGCTGTAATATGCGAAGCAAAAACACGAACAAGGGTACCAGAACTGCCATATATACATCATATATATATATATATATATATATATATATATATATATATATATATTACTGGTTACGAAGGCAGGCGCTACCACCCCCTTACAAAGGGAAAAGAGAAACAAGAAGAAATGTGCCAGAACTGTAATACTAAACGGAAATGTGGCTGCCCCGCATTGCGCTGGGCCTCTTCAGTGCCGCCGTAATACACGAAGGCAGTTGCTATGATCCCTCCATGCAGCTGCGTACAGAACAACTGGGACATACATGTACTACATTAACCGCTATAGCAAGAAACCGTACTACTTTAGTTATATATACAGATATACATATACAGACATATATATATATATATAGGAGAAGAGCAAAATTCTGATTGATATCGGCTATTTTTTCTATGTATAGTTTGGCTCTCCTTGGAAACGCATGCAGAACAGTACGTAACATATAACTATATCAACTATAATAGCCAGAAGACGCATATACGCGCTTTGTAAGGGAACAAAGAAGACGTATATACACAATAGCAAGAAGACGCATATATAAGTTTGTAAGGGACAAAGAAGGCGTATATATACAATAGCAAGGAGACGCACATATATATGGTTTGCAGAGGAACCAAGAAGACGTCTAAATGCAGTAGCAAGAAGACGCATATGTATACGCTTTGTAAGGGAACAAAGAAGAAGTATATATACATATATATCTCTATATAGACATATATACGCCTTTCCGTGTGTGAACACATCAGCTAGGAGGGGGGCGGGCGATAGACCTGCTAGCGAGCGGTCAGGGTGAAGCATCTAGCATGACCGCAAAAACATCACCAGCACTGCCACCCATTACAGAGACCAGGTATTTCCATGTAACAAATCCAAGGAGAAAACATATAAAGGCAAACAAAAACAACAGCGGTCAAAGGTTTTCCGGTAGAAAAAGAAGGGGTAGTAGTATGGGCGCAGACACATCAACGGCACTACCACCCGTCAGAGAAAACAGGTAATTCCATGTAACAAATGTAACGAGAAAACTTATAAAGGAAAAAAAGTACAACAGCAGTCAAAGGTGTTTACATGGAAAAAGAAGGGTAACAATGGGTCACCACAGGAGAGGCGGGGGGTGCGGCGTCGTCTTACCAAACCGCCAGCAGCCTCCACCCACCCGCCGCTGCTGCAGGACACGACAGCTACGCGAGCTGTGCGGTATATATATATATATATATATATATATATATATATATATATATATATATGTACATGTATATGTACACAGATGGCTGGCAGATTCCACGTATACATTGATGTATACATATATATGTGCAGGTATATGTATGTAGTGTATTCATCAAAATGTATGTGTATGTGTTTATGTATCTTCTTGATAGAGAGACCTTCTCTAGACGAGCTGTGCGGTAGAAGAGGAGGAGAAGGAAGGAGGGCAGGAAGAGGAGGAGGAAGAAGAGGAGGAGGAGGAAGAGGAGGAGGACGAAGAGAAAGAGAAGGAGGAGGAGGGGCAGACGTAGGACGTGCTGTAAACGATAAGTAGTCCGTAATACCGCAATCCATGCGGACAAATATATACAAACATATATACATGTATATATATATACATTTATATATATACATTCGTATATGTATACAGATGGCTGGCAGTTTCCCCGTATACACAGATGTATACATAAATATGTGCAGATATATATATGTAGTGTACTTATATAAATGTATGTACATGTATATATATATATGTATCTTTAATAGAGAGACCTTCTCTACGCGAGCTGTGCGGTAGAAGAGGAGACGACGTAATAAGGGCAGCAGGAGGAGGAGGAGGACGAGGAATAGAAGGAGGAAGAGAAGGAGGAGGAGGAAGAGGAGGAGGACGAAGAAAAGGAGAAGGAGGAGGAGGAGGGGTAGACGTGAGAAATGCGGTAAATGATGGAAAGTCCGTAATACCGCAGTCCATGCGGACAAATACCTACAAACATATATATATATATATGTATATATATGTATATGTATATATATATATATATGTATGCCGATGGCTGGCACCATCCAGGTATACATAGATGTATACATTTATATGTACAGGTATATGTACGTAGTGTATTTATAGAAATGTATGTACATGTATATATATATATATATACATATATTTCCTCCTTGATAGAGAGACCTTCTTGAGGCCTTCTTCCCTTGCCCTTGCGGTGTCTGTACCCGCCTAGGCTAGCTGGTCGGTAGAGGGAGGAGGAGGGAGGAGAGGAAGAGAGGAAGAGAAAGAAGGGGACGAGGTGAAGGAGGAGGAGGAGCACGAAGAAGGCGAGGAATAGTTCTAGGAAATAGAGTAAGTGATAAAAACTCTGTAATACTGCAAGTCTATATGGTCACAAGACGCCTGGCACTATCTGCAGACACGTACACGTATATATATATATATATATATATATATATATGTACGTATATATATATAGATATATATAGGTATTTATGTAAAAAAAAACTATATAAGTGTATATATACATGTAATTATCTGTATATCTCCTTGATAGAGAGGCCTTCTGGGCGCTTTCTTTTGATACTCTGGGGGTCTGTGTACACGTCAACGCTACCAGTGCGGTAGAGGAGGAGGAGGAGGAAGAAGAGGAGAAGGATGAGGAACAGCGGTAACTGACAAGGATTCGGTAAATGCTGTAACTCGGTATGGTCACAAGAGGACTGGCTGTATAAACGTACACACATACATATATATATATATATGCATATATATGAGTGTATAGAGTCATCTATATTGCTATATATATACGTGTATTTGTATATGTCCTTAAGAGAGAGACGTTCTGGACGCGTTCGTTTGTTACTCTTGCGCTGCCTTTACACTCCAGTGCTAGCTGTGCGATAGAGGAGGAGAAGGAGGAGGAGGGAGAGGGGGAAGAGGAGTAGGAAGAATAGGAGGAGGGGACGGTGGAAATGCACTAACTGGTAAAGACCCGGTGATACTGCAACTCACTGTGGCCGCCTCGTAAAAGCTCCGGAATACCGCACCTCAGTATGTCCACAAGAGCGTCGGCAGCAGAAGGTACGCATACACGTATACATATATATATATATATATATATATATATACGTATACGTATATGCCTGTGAATATATGTATGGAGATATGGATATAAATGTGTATATACGTATATGTGTTCCTTGATAGAATGGCGCTCTGGGCGCGTTCTCTTGTTACTGTTGAGGCGTCTGCACACCTCTACCCGTGCTGAGGGCACATGACGGGTAGCAGTAGTAGTAGTGATAGTAGTGAGTAGTAGTAGTAGTAGTATTAGTAGCGGTAAAGGTGGGATTCACTTGTGAACACAAGTGTGGCTGCTGGCCTGAAAAGACATAAAGGAGTAGCCCCCATGTCAGTGCTGCATATCAAATATATGGAGAGGGGTGGCAACTATGCTTGCTGGCATAAAGGGCTATATAGTAGTACCCTCATGAGCCTGCTGCATACTAAGTGTAAACAGAGAAATTTCAACTATGGCTGGTGGCCTGTAGGGCCGTACAGCAGTATCGCCATTCAGCTGCTGCACACCACATATGTAAGTGGTCACAAGTATGGCTGCTGACTTGAAGAGCCCGTATAGCACTAGCCTTCATCTGAATGCTGCGCATCACATATATAGGCAGGAATCACAAGTGCGCATCAAATATATAGGGAGGGATCAGAAGTATGGCTGGTAAGAAGAACTGAGTGGCCCACAGAGTAGTTGCCCCTGTTCATGTGTTGCATCTCATAGAGGTACGGAGATCACAGGAATGACTGCTGACCTCAAGGGCCATACAGTAGTAGCCCCATTTTGAACGCTCCATAGTAGATGTATAGGGAGGGATTACAATCATGGCTGCTAACCTGGGGGCCATATAGCGGCAGCCCCCAGGTGAGTCCTGCATATCAAATATATAGAGGGATCACGACTATGGCTGCTGGCCTGGAGGGCCATATAGCGGCGGCCCCCAGCTGAGTCCTGCATATCAAACATATAGAGGGATCACGGCTATGGCTGCTGGCCTAACGGGACGTGTAGTGGTAGTACCTATATAGATATATATATGTATGTATGTATATATGTAAATATATGTATACCTGTAGAGGCATACAGTTGTAGCTGCGAGTCTCGTGCTGCGAATAAATTATATACGCCGGATTCAGGACTGCTGCTGGTCGTTAGAGGCATACAGCAGTGCCTCCCTTTAGAGGACCGCATATCAAATATATGGGCGCCGAGCACAAGCATGACTGCTGGATTTTAGGGCATACAGCAGCGGCCCAACAACCGTGGTACTCTGCTGCATATATATATATATATGTATAACTATAGAGGCATACGGTTGTAGCCCCAATTCTCCTGCGCCATACAGATTATATAGGCCGCATTCGCGACTGCTGCTGGTTTTCAGGGGCGCACAGCGGTACCTCCCTTTAGAGGCGGCACACCAAGTATATGGGCGTCGATCACAAGCATGACCGCTGACCTTAAGGGGCATACAGCAGCAGCCCTGCTGCTGCGGTATTCTGCTGCTATTGCTAATAATGTTGTGTTGCTCCTGCTGGTGGTATAGCTTTGGTGCTGCTACTGATACTATGTCGCTCCTGTCGCTGCTGGTTTGTGTGGCTGCTGCTGCTGCTGTTGAGATGTGTGGCTGCTCCTACTGGAACTGTGTTGCTGCTGCCAGTGGTATTGTGCTGCTGCTGCTGCTTCCAGGGGTATTGTGATGCTGCTGCCGGTGGCACTTTGCTGCTATTGCTAATAATGTTGTATTGCTCCTGCTGGTCGTATAGCTTTGGTGCTGCTGCTGATACTATGTCGCTCCTCTCGCTGCTGGTTTGTGTGGCTGCTGCTGCTGCTGCTGTTGAGATGTGTGGCTGCTCCTACTGGAACTATGTTGCTGCTGCCAGTGGTATTGTGCTGCTGCTGCTGCTTCCAGGCGTATTGTGATGCTGCTGCCGGTGGCACTTTGCTGCTATTGCTAATAATGTTTCATTGCTCCTGCTGGTGGTATAGCTTTGGTGCTGCTACTGATACTATGTCGCTCCTGTCGCTGCTGGTTTGTGTGGCTGCTGCTGCTGCTGTTGAGATGTGTGGCTGCTCCTACTGGAACTGTGTTGCTGCTGCCAGTGGTATTGTGCTGCTGCTGCTGCTTCCAGGGGTATTGTGATGCTGCTGCCGGTGGCACTTTGCTGCTATTGCTAATAATGTTGTATCGCTCCTGCTGGTGGTATAGCTTTGGTGCTGCTACTGATACTATGTCGCTCCTGTCGCTCCTGGTTTGTGTGGCTGCTGCTGCTGCTGCAGATCTGTGTGGCTGCTGCTGCCGGTATGTGTGGCCGCTGCTACTGGAATTGTGTTGCTGCTGCCCGTGGGTAATATGTTGCTGCTGCTGCTGCCTGCAGTGCCTTGCTGCTGCTTTGGGTATTGTGCTGCTGTTGATGTCGTGTTGTTGCTACTGCTGGCGGTATTGTCCTGCTGCTGCTACTTATACTGTGCTGCTCCTGCTGTTAATAGTGTGCTGCTGCTGCTGCTGGTATTGTGCTGCCGCTGCTGCTATCAACACTGTTACGCTGCTGCTGGTGCTGTGTTGCCGCTGCTACTGGTACTGTGCTGCTGCCGCTGCTGCCGCTCCTGCTACTGTGATGCTGCTGCTGGTGTTGTGTTGCCGCTGCTAGTGGTACTGCACTTCTGCCACTTCTCGTACTACTACTACTAGTGCTACTGCGACTACTAGTGCTACTAGTAGTATTTAGTAGTAGGACTACTATTACTACTATACATGTCAGTAGCACCCCCGCCGACCCACTCTTCATCTTGCGCACACCGGAGCAGGAAGAGGAGGCAGAGGAGGGGACGGAGACACGCCGGCGAGCTGCTGCTGTAAGCCGGTCAAACGCGCTTCCCCGCCCTTCGTGCTGCTGCTGCTGCTGCTGCTGCCGCTGCCCCTGCTGCTGCCGCTGCCGCTGCTGCTGCTGCTGCTGCTTCTGTGGCTGTCAGTACTGCTGCCAGTACTCCTGCCACTTCTGATCCTACTACTACTACTACTGCTAGTGCGCCTACTAGTGCTACTACTAATAGTAGGACTACTATTACTACTATACATGTCAGTAGCACGCACCCCCCCACCCACTCTTTTTGCTGCGCCCACTGGATGAGGAACAGGAGACGGCAGAGACACTTCTGCGAGCTGCTGCTGGAAGCCCGCCGAACGCGCTTCCCCCTTCTTCCCGCTGCTGCTGCTGCCGCTGCTGCTGCTTGTGTGGCGGTCAGTACTACTGCCAGTACTTCCGCCACTGCTTGTAGTACTAGTGCTACTACTTCTGCTACTGCGACTACTACTGCCACAGCTACTGCGACTAGTACTACTACTACTAGTACTACTGCTACTGCCACTGGTACTACTACTAGTAGTAGGACTACTACCACTACACATGTAAGTAGCGCCCCCCCTCCACTCACTCTTCTCGCTGCACACACTGGAGGAGGCCTGCTGCTGCTGCCGCTGGTGCTGCTTCTTCTGTGGCCGTCAGTACTACTGCCAGTACTTCTGCTACTTCAGATACTACTACTAATACTACTGCTACTACGACTACTCTACTATCACTACTACTAGACACATATACTACCACCCTCCCCGCGCACCTTTTTTTGGTGCGCACACGGGAGGAGGAAGAGGAGGGGGCGGAGTCACTCGTGTGAGCTGCTCCTGGAAGCCCCCCCAACGCGCTTCCGCCCCCACTCGTGCTGCTGCTGCTGCTACCGCTGCTGCTGCTGCTGCTGCCGCTGCTGCTGCCGCTGCTGCTGCTGCTGCTGTCGCTGCTGCTGCTGCTGCCGCCGCTGCTGCTGCTGCCGCCGCTGCTGCGGCTGCTTTTGTTGCTGGCTGCCTCCCCCGCCTGCATTACGGCTACTGCTCTGGTGTATCGCTTACTACTAGCGCTGCTAATAGTCTTTTGCTGCTGCTGCTGCTGCTGCCACTGCTGGGACAGCTACGAGCACTACTACTGTTCGCGCTGCTTCTGCGGCTGGTACGACATATGGCAGCGTCCCTGCTGCTGCTGCTGGCGGTCACACGGGTGCTGCTGCTGCTGGTCGCGCGGCTACTGCTGTTGCTGCTCTCCCCCCCCTGCTGCAGACACAGCTGCAGCTGCTGCTGTTCGCGCTGCAGCTGAAACTGCTGGAGCGGCTGCAACGGCACTGCTGCTGCGGTCACTGTTGCAGCTAACGCTGCTGCTGCCGGCGCTGCTGCTGCTGGTGAGACTGCTGGGGCTCTTGCTGCTGCTGAGCGACAGCTGCTGCTGCTCTTACTACTCTTGGAGGAAACAACCCTGCTGCTCCTGCTCGTGCTGCGCGCGCTCCTTATCCGCTGCTGCTGACGGTGCTGCTGCTGCTGGCGGCGCTGCTGCTGCTGGCAGCGCTGCTGCTGCTGGCTGTGCTGCTACTCCTGCTGCCGGTGCTGCTGCTGCCGCTGAGGGGCGGGAGCGAGGACTGCTAGCAGTGTGTGAGAGTAGGGGGGGCCACCTCGTAGCAGCAGCAGCAGGTGAAACTCCCTCGAAGATGATGTCAGTACTCATAACAGCAGCTAGCTCTTCCCTACATATTGATAGAAATACGATACTGATTTATCTTTGACCCTACACATACAAATTTTTCTTTTTTACATTCCTTCTTGCTGCTGCAGCAGCTGTATGGACCCTTCTTTATCTCTTCCGACCGTCCCTACTCCCTCCTTCTCCCTCTTGTCTTCTATACCTCTGCTGCAGCAGCAGTGGCGGTCGACGAAGCAGCAGCGAGAAAATAGCGGCAGAAGCAGCAGCAGCAGTAGTACTAGCAGAAGTAGTAGCAGCAGCAGCCGCGGTACAGCACCAACAGCAGCAGCAGCAGCACCGACAGCAGCAGCAGCAGCACTCGCACCCACAGCAGCGACAGCAGCAGCAGCAGCCGCACCACCAACAGCAGCAGAAGAGGAAGAAGCAGAAGCACCAGCAGCCTAGACACATATCACATTATTTATCATTTACAACCGTCTTTAGAAGTCTGCTGCTGCAGCAGATGTACCTCGGCGCGGCTTCTTATAGTAGGAGCTACGCAGACACGAGAACCACACCACCAGTGCCAGGAGCAGCAGCAGCAGCAGCAGGGTCAACAACGCGGCAGCAGCAGCAGCAGCAGTCCAGTAGCAGCACGGCTGCAGCAGCAGCAGTCGGCCAGCAGCAGCAGCAGCAGCAGCAGTCAATCAGCAGCAGCAGCAGCAGCAGTGCACCAGTAGCAGCGGCACCGCAGCAGCAGCAGCAGCAGCCGTCCAGTAGCCGCGCCACAGCAGCAGCAGCAGTCCAGCAGCAGCACCAGTTCAGCAGCAGCAGCAGCCGCTGTTCAGCAGCAGCAGCGGCAGTTCAGCATCGGCAGCAGCAGCGTGTCCGACGTTACAGCGACAGCTAATTCTTCGAAACCGCATGTGTCTGTCTGTGTTGCAGTAGCAACAGCAGCAACAGCAGCAACAGTAGCAACCGCAGCAGCAGCAGTACACCCGAAGCAGTAAGCGGTGTGCTATGCCTTCATAGGTAGCAGCAGCAGCACCAGCGGCAGCAGCGGCCCCAGCAGCAGCAGCAGCCCCAGCAGCAGCAGCATCGAGGGACAGTTGCCGTTGCAGCAGAAGACAAAGGAGATAACGAAGCTGCTGCTGCTGCTGCTGCTCCTGCTGCTGATAGCGCGTTTGTCTCTTTCGAACCGACGGAACGCTTGTTGCTGTTGCTGCTGCATGCGGAAACAGACGACGACAGCAGCAGCCACAAAAGCGCAGCAGCAGCAGCAGCAGCAGCAGGAGCAAGGGAAGCGCAGCAGCAGCAGCGGGAGCAGGGGAACCGCAGCAGCAGCAGGAGCGAAGGAAGCGCAGCAGCAGCAGGAGCAGCGGAGGCGCAGCAGCGGCACCAGCAGCAGCAGCGAAAGCAGCAGCAGAAGCAGCAGCAGCAGAAGCGGAAGCAGCAGCAGAAGCAGCAGAGGGAGAGGTCTTTTAAGCCTCATTACCAGTGTCCAGTAATTGATGTTCTGCCACCCGCTACTGCTTCCTCATCCCTGCTTGAGGAGGCGCAGCAGCAGCAGAAGCAGCGGCAGAAGCAGCAGCAGAAGCAGCAGCAGAAGCAGCAGCAGCAGCAGCAGCAGAAGCAGCAGCAGAAGCAGCAGCAGAAGCAGCAGCAGAAGCAGAGGACACACACAGGTGCAGCAGCAGCAGCAGCAGCAGAAGCAGCAGCAGAAGCAGCAGCAGAAGCAGCAGCAGAAGCAGCAGCAGAAGCAGCAGCAGAAGCAGCAGCAGAAGCAGCAGCAGAAGCAGAGGACACACACAGGTGCAGCAGCAGCAGCAGCAGAAGCAGCAGCAGCATAAGCAGCAGCATAAGCAGCAGCAGAAGAAGAAGAAGAGGCAGGACCTCTTATCAGCGGCCACAGCCGAAGAAGAACAAGAAGAAGCTGGGGGCCCCTAACAGCAGCAGCGTAAGCGCCAGCAGCAGCAGACGCAGCGGCAGCATAAGCAGCGGCAGCAGCAGCCAAAGCAGCAGCAGCATAAAGCAGCAGCCGCATAAGCGACAGCAGCAGCAGAAGAAGAAGAAGAAGCAAGGGGCCCTTACCAGCAGCTGCAGCAGCGTCAGCAGGAGGATTCTAGCAGCACAAACAGTGGCATAAGCAGCAGCAGCAGCATAAGCAGCGGCAGCAGCATAAGCAGCAGCAGCAGCAGCGGCAGCGTAAGCAGCGGCAGCAGCGGCAGCAGCAGCATGAGCAGCAGCAGCAGCAGCAGAAGCAGCGGCGGCAGTCGAAGAAGAAAAAGAAGAAGGAGCAAGGGGCCCTTGTCAGCAGCAGCAACAGCAGCGTATTCAGAAGGCTCCTAGCAGCACCACCACCAGCAGAAGCAGTGGACACATAACAGCCGTGGCAGCGTAACAAGTGGACGCAGTGCAGCAGCAACAGCAGAGACGGAACACGCGTGTGTCGACTGGACAGCTGCAGCGACCTATATTTATATATATATATACATATATATATATATATATACATGTATATATGTATGTGCATATATATATATATATGCACGAAGGGAGATGCATATATATAGGTTCAGCGTGTCGTTTGTAAATATCTGTATGTGTATATATGTGTGTGTACGTGGGTGCACGCACCTATATAGACATGTCTATAAATACGTACGTACATGCATATACATCTATATCTGCATGTACCAATACGTATACACGCCTGTGTGTAGGGAAACACATAGGCCAGCAGTCACAGCAAACAAGGAAGCACCGAACAGTGGACAGGGGAAGAAGACGAAGAAGAACAAGGCGGAGCAGCAGCAGCAGCAGCAGCGGCAGCAGGAAGGACTGGAACGCCTGTATAACAGCAGCAGCGACAGCAGCAGCGACAGCAGCAGCGACAGCAGCAGCGACAGCAGCAGCAGCGGCAACAGCTGCAAACGCACATCCTAATGTAGCAGACTATCATCAGTAGCGTTATATATATATATACATTTCTATTTACACATGTATGTGTCCGTGTCTCTCCGTATAAAGCTGCGTATACGTATATGCCGACAAGGACAGCAGCAGCAGCAGCGGCAGCAGCTACAAGACCACGCCCTAATGTAGCAGAGCGTCATCATCAATAGCGTTATATATATATATATATGTACATATATACATTTCTATTTACACGTATATGTGTCCGTGTCTCTCCGTATACAGCTGCGTATACGTATATGCCGACGACGACGACAGCAGCAGCAGCAGCAGCGGCAGCAGCTACAAGACCACGCCCTAATGTAGCAGAGCGTCATCATCAGTAGCGTTATAAATCTGCATTCGTATCTCCGCATTTGTATGTTCCTGTCTCTCCGCGTACAGCTGCGTATACGTATATACCAACAACGACAGCAGCAGCAGCAGCAGCAGCAGCGGCAGCAGCTACAAGGGCGCACCCTAGCGTAGCAGAGTGTCATCGCCAATAGGCTTATATATATATATATACTTCGATTTATACATGAATATCTTTGTATCTTCGTGTATATATATACATGTATATATACCTCCCTTTAAAAAAAGTATCTTCGTGTCACCATCAATGTACATAAATATCCTTGTATCTTCGTGTCTTATATATACATATATATACATATATACATATTTCTATCTGTAAAAACTTATCGTCGTGTCATCATCAATAGCATTATATACATTCTTATATATATATTTCATCTTTACATCTCTATGTTGGTATGTCTCCTTATACAGCTGCCTGTATATATATATATATATATATATATATATATATATATATATATACATATATGTATATACATATATATATATACATACATATATGTATATAGATATATATGTATACGTGTATGTGTATAGAGAGATAGATATCTGTATGAGTGCATCTGTTGGTATAAACGAGTATATAATGGTCAGTGGTGCTGGCGCTGCCGTCTTCATTTCCCAGTAGTCACACGCTTGGGTCACCCGCCTCGGTGTTCCTGCAATTCTTCTACTGTTGCTCCGCGTCGTCTAGCATATATGCGCCGGTGGTAGCTTGGTACCTCTATACGACACACATATTTACACGCGTACGTATATATGTATGCATCAACACATATCTAAGCGTATACATATCTATCTATCTATCTATCTATATATATATATATATATATATATATATGTAGATGCCTGCATATTTGTATAGTGTGCACATATATATTTGTATGTGTATATATATATATATATATATATATATACATATATGTGTAAATCTCTTTTCTCATACATATATATATATATATATATATATACATATATATATACTTGGGCGTAAGCAGGGGTTCGCACACGTATATATTTATATATATATATATATGTTTGTAGTTGTTACCTAAATAGGGGAAAGCAGCATATACTCGTGCTTGGTCGCAGCCGGCGTTGAATAGTATCAGCGCATGAGTCGGGGAGTCCGGCCTACCTATGTATAAATGTCGTTTATATATATCTATATATATCTGTATAACTATATATATATATATATATATATATATGTCATACATACACATATCTGAGTGTATATACATACCCTATATATATATATATACATATATATATATATATATATATATATGTATGTTTCTTCTTCTGCGTCCATATAAACGTAGGCGTGTTTCTGTTGTTTTACGGAAAAATGTCCGGAATACACAAAATAATGGCGTAGACAGTAGCCGAATGTGTACATATACACTGTAGACATCACTTGTATACTGTGAGATTTCAGTATATAGAACTATATTTGAACACAGCTCTTAACATATACATATGCATATAATGCCAGAGCTGTATACGTAGACATATATATATATATATATATATATATATACATATATATGTATACATATACATGTGTATATGCACACATATATATATGTATATCTGTGTACATCTGCATATATATACGGGTATATATATGTATATATATATATATATATATATATATATATGTACATATGTTGTTCACATATACTTGCATGCAAATTCGCGGGCACTTGCTTTAATGCGCTCGCCGCTATAGCGGCGCCCCCTCCGCCTTGTACATGATCTGCTGTTGCTGCCGCTGCTGGTGCTGCTGCAACAGCTACTACAGCGACAGGTACTGCTGCAGCAGGTAGTACTTCAGCAGCCACTCCTGCAGCAGCTACTGCTGCAGCAGGTAGTATTGCGACAATTGGTGCTGCAGCAGGTAGTACTGCAGCAGCTATCACTGCGCAACAACAACTATTGCTGCAGCAAGTAGTACTGCGGCAGCTTCTATTGTGGCAGGTAGTAGTGCAACAGCTAATACTGCAACAGGTACTGCTGCAGGAGGAGATAGTACTGCAACAGCCACCACTGTAGCACGTAGTACTGCAACTACTACTACTACTACGACTACTACTACTGCGACGAGTAGTACTGGGACAGATACTGCTGCAGCAGGTAGTACAGCAACAACAGCTACTACTGCAGCAGCTCCTGCTGCAGCAGGCAGTGCTGCGAGAGCTTCTACTGTAGCAGGGGGTACTGCAACGGCTACTCCTGCAACAGATGCTGCAGCAGCAGGTGGTATCGCAGCAGCTGCCGCTGCAACAGCTACTGCTGCAGCACGTCTGCTACTGCACCAGCTACTACTGCAACAGCTACTACTGCAACAGCTACTACTGCTGCAGCAAGTAGTACCGCGACAACTGCCGCAGGGAGTACTGCAACAGCTGCTACTGCAACACCTACTGCTGCAGCAAGAAGTACTGCAATAGCTACCACTGCAACAGCAACTGCTGCAGCAACCAGGACTGCGACAGGTACTACTGCAACAGCTACTACCGCAACAGCTACTACTGCAGCAGCTACTACTGCAGCAGCTGCTGCAGCAGCAACTACTACAACAGCGGCTACTTCAGCAGCTACCACTACAACAGCTGCTACTGCAGCAGCTACTGCTGCACCAAATAGTAGTGCAGCAGCTACTACTGCAGCAGCTACTACAACAACGACTACTGCTGCAGCAGCTACTACCGCTGCAACAGGTAGTACTGCAAGAGCAGTACTTACGGCGCCAGCGAAGGGAAGAGCAGGAGCAAGAGCAGCAGCAGCAGCAGCAAGGGCAGCAGCCGCAGGAGCAGCAGCAGCAGTAGCAGGAGCAGCAACAGCAGCAGGAGCAGCAACAGCAGCAGGAGCAGCACCAGCAGCAGGAGCAGCAGCAGCAGCAGCAGGACCGGAGCAGGAGCAGCAGCAGGGGCAGCAGCAGCAGCAGCAGCAGGAGCAGGAGCAGCAGCAGGAGCCGCAGCAGCAGCAGGAGCCGCAGCAGCAGCAGCAGTAGCAGCAACAGGAACAGCAGCAGCAACAGCAGCAGAAGGAGCAACAGCGACAGCAGCAGCAACGACAGGAGGAGCAGGAGCAGCGGCAGCAACAGAAGCAGCAACAGCCACAGCAGCAGAAGCAGCAACGGCAAGTAGCATCTCCTTCCTCTTCTTTTTCTGCTGCTGCCGCTGCTGTTGCTACAGCTGCTGCTGTTGCTACTGCTACTGCTACTGTTGCTACTGTTGCTACTGCTCCTGCTGCTACTGCCGCTGATTCCACTACTACAACAACGAATGCTGCTATAGACGATGAAGGCGTAGCTGTGCTGCTGCTGCTGCTGCAACAACAAGTATAACAGAGGGCAACAGCAGCTGCAGCGGCAGCAGCAGCAGCGCCGCTAGTACCGGCTGTGAGGAAACACAAATCATGGCAGCAGCAGAAGAAGAAACAGCAGCAGAAGAAACAGCACCAGCGGAAGAAGCAGCACCAGCAGCAGAAAAAAAAGGAGGAACAGAAAAAGAAAACGGAAAAGAAGAGGACGCGGCAGCAGCAGCAGTAGCGGGAAGAAAGAAGAAAGAAGACAAGAAGAAAGAGGAGGAGGAGAAGGAGAAGGAGAAAGAGGAGAAGGAGAAGGAGAAGGAAGAGAAGGGAGGAGGACGAATGACTGCGGCCGTAGCAGAGAAAGGAAGAATAGAAAAAGAAGACGAAAAAGAAAAGGGTGCAGCAGCAGCAGCAATAACGGAAAGAAAAAAGAAAGAGAATAAGAAGGAAGAGGAGAAGGAGGAGGAGAAGGAGAAGAAGAAGAAGAAGGAGGAGGAGAAGGGAAGAGGACGAATAACTGCGGCCTCAGCAGAGAAAGGAGGAACAGAAGAAGAACACGGAAAAGAGGAAAGTGCAGCAGCACCAATAGCAATAGCGGAAAGAAAGAAGAAAGAAGATAAGAAGGAAGAGAAGGAGAAGGAGAAGAAGGGGGAGGACGAAAGACTGCGGCGGCGGCAGCAGCAACACTAACAGAGGCACAAAGGCGTGCAACAAGTAGACGGCAAACTAGAGCAACAGAAGCGGCAGCAGCGACAGCAGCAGCAACAGCGACAGCAGCAGCAGCAGAAGCAGCACGAACAGCGACCGCAGCAGCTCCGGCAACAGCAGCAGCAGCACCGGCAGCAGCAGCAGCAGCAACCGCACCAACAGCAGCAACCGCACCAACAGCAATAACAGCACCTACTGCAAGGGTGGGAGAAGGAGGAGGCGCAGCAGCAACGCCAGCAGCAGCGACAGTAGCAGCAGCGACAGTAGCAGCAGCGACAGTAGCAGCAGCGGGAGCAGGAGGGAACGAAAAAACTGCACCAGCAGCAGCAGCGGCAGCAGCAGCAGCAATGGCAGCAGCAGCGGCAGCAGCAGCGGCAGCAGCAGCGGCATGTGGAGGGAGAGCAGAAGATGCAGCTGTTGCACTTGCCTACGAAGTAGGTCGAGAACTGCGTAGAGAAGCATTAGCGAAACAAGCAACAGCAGCAGCAGCGGCAGCAGCAGCAGCAGCGGCAGCAGCAGCAGCAGCACGAGAAGCAGAAGCAGGAGCAGCAGCAGCAGCAGAAGCAGAACCAGAAGCAGCAGCAGCAGCACGAGACGCAGAAGCAGGAGCAGCAGCGGCAGCAGCAGAAGCAGCAGCAGGAGAAGCAGCAGGAGCAGCAGCAAGGGGCACACCGATGCAAGGAGAAGCCAGGAAAGCAGACAGCAGCAGCATAATAAATAGGAGAGACGCGTATACAGAAGCAAGTAACGCGCAGCAGCAGGATACGAAGCTGCAGCAGCAGGAGGCGAAGCCGCAGCAGCAGCAGACGGAGCCGCAGCAGCAGGAGCAACAACAGCAGCAGAAAATGAAGCAGCTGCAGCAGCAGAAGGACACGCAGCAGCAGCAACAGCACGAGGAGAGAGATGAAGAGGAGAAAGACGAAGAAGAAGAAGAAGAAGAAGAAGAAAAAAAAGAAAAAGAGGAACCAGGAGAGAAGCAACAGCAGCAGCAAGAGGAGGAGACGTCTCCGCTACATATACAGCAGCAGCAACACGGACAATCTACAAGCAACAGACCAACGAGTGCAGTACATGCTGATACAGCAGCATGTGGCTGGAGAGACGAGACAGAGTTACTTGCAGCAGCAAAGAAGATAGCAAGAACTTACGCTGCTGTCTCCCTGGGACTTACTCCTGTCTCGTCTTACGCTGCTGTCTCCCTAGGACGTACTCCTGTCTCGTCTCACCATATACAAGAAGATCGACTATCTGCTGCCGCGACTGCTGGTGCTGCTGCTGCTGCCGCTGCTGCTGCTGATGCTGAAGCAGCTGCTGCTGCTGGTGCTGAAGGAGCTGCTGCTGCTGCTGCTCCTGACTCTTCATCCTCGCTTTCGTACTCTCCTACGATTACTGTTACCGGTCCTGCTGCTGCCGTCGCTCCTGCTGCTGCTGTCGCTCCTGCTGCTGCTGTTTTTCCTGCTTGTGCTGCCGCTCTTGTTCCTGCTTCTGCTGCTGCTGGGGCTGCTGCGGCTGCTGCGAGGTCCTCGCCTATCCCTTATTCTTCTTCTTCGTCTTCTCTTTCTACTCAAACTATATCTCCGCAAATGATCTCTCCTCGTTCGCAGCTGAGGCAGGCACAGCAACTAAAGAAGGACAAAGAGGCGGAAATAGCAGATGCAGAAGAAGACGAAGAAGAAGAAAACGAAGAAGAAGGAGAAGAAAAAGAAGAAGAAGGAGAAAAAGAGGAAGAAGAAGAAGTGGGAAAGCAGCAAAGAAGCGCAGAAGAGCAGCTTCAGGGACAGGAGAAGGAGAAAGAAGAGGAGGCGAAGGAGGAGAAGAAAAAGAAAAAGAAAGAGTTACACGAGGAGGAGAAGGAGGAGGAGCAGCAGCAGAAAGAAGTGGAGGCGCAGCAGCAGAAGAAGAAGCAGCACGAGCCGCAGCAGCACCACGAGCGGCAACACAAGCAGCAACAGCGACAACAGCAACAACGACGGCAGCAACAGCAACAGCAGCAGCAAGAAAAAGATGGAGAAGAAGAGGAAGAAGAAGAAGAAGAACACGACGAAGAAGAGGAAAAAGAAAAAGAAGGAGAAGAAGAAGAAGAAGAGAACTTACTAGGGGCGAGAGCCGTGGGGCAAGGGTCTACAAATGTGCTGATTCATGTCTGGTCCAAAGAGACAGAGACACGTACATGTGCTGTCAAGTTTTTCGGTATACACAAAAAGAATCTACTTTCTTTCTTTCTTTCTTTCTTTATTTTCAATCCTTTCTCTTCTCCCTCTCACTAAATGTGTCTGCTGTTCCTTTTTCCCTCTCTCTCCCTTTCACATATGCATGCGTCTACACATATGCATATGTGTACATATATGTATATATATGCATACATATGCATGTATGTATATATATATATATATATATAGATATAGATATATGTATGTATATCTGTATATACATACATACATATGTGCATGTATATACATATGCACATATGCACAGGTACATCTGCTGTCGAGTTTTTTGGTATAAACAGGAAGAATTCTTCTTTCTTTCCTTTGTTCTCTCAATTCCTTTTTCTTATTCCCCTTACTAAGTGCATATATTGTTTTTTCCCTCTCTCTCCGTTTCACATATGGACGC